ACCCCAGCACCATAACGGACAATTGCGTTTATTATAGTTAAGTCTACGCTAAGAGGTATGACCATTTGATATTGGAATATGCAGAAGCAAACTATGCATGATTGTGAATATAAACGTTTCAGTTTTACAGGTAAGCAATAAATTTTATAAATGTACTAGCGGACTGGGCAGACGTTGTCCTGTACGACTTAAATCCGATAACTTAAAAAATTGTGATTCTAAGCCATTCTCGAATCGACCTGAAGACACATAAAATTTCATCAAAATTAGTCCAGTCGTTTAGGTGGAGTATAGTCACAGACACACATACAGTAGAATTATATATATAAAAACCAGCTTTTCACCCGCGGCTTCGCTCGCCTTGAAGTCCTTAAAAATAGCCTATGTCCTTTCTCAGGCTCTGGACTTTCTGTGTAGCAAATTTCATTTAAATCGGTTCAGTAGTTTTGGAATGAAAGCGAGACAGACAGACAGAATTAATTTCGCATTTATAATATTGGTATGGAAGTATGGATTATACCACTACAAAACGTTTTTTCGATGTGAAACTTCTTTGCGAAGGGTCCTCATGAGAAATCGTCACGAAGAACCATCATGCCCAAGACGGTTCGCGTCACAGGATTACTTAGAGTATAATTATGCGATCCGTGTTACACGAGTCCAGCTAAATAGAAAGAGATAAAACACCAAAATGGTGGATAAAAGTTTTAACTCAACATTTATTTATATAAGTCAAGTAATAATTTTTGTGTTCTTGTTTTTGTATTTATGTTAATTTAGTTTCAAATAAATTAAAATAAAATTATGATTTTAAAATATTTCTCAGTATCTAAATATCATAGTATATTAATACAAATCTGCACAGAGGGTAATAGCGCGTAGTCCACCACCCACCACGGAATGCCAGACTTCACATATCTTCGTAATATATATGTATTCTCATTGATCGGGTGGCGGTAATCTAAGTGATCAAGTGGACCGTATACTCGCTTGTCAACTTGTCATTTAGAAGAGGCTTTCTGATTGCTTCTATTGAAATATTCCTTGAACTTTTTTCCATAATTATATTTTTATACAAGATTTAGAATCTTTTGTAAGTGTTAGTCCCAAAGTACGATTTGTACTATTAGAAATTTAAAATTAGTAAACAATGAATAGTTACCATAACAAGGCATAGTAGTGAATTGTTACAACGTTACGAAACTATCGATAGAAACCATTTAAAGTTATTGGGTAGCCGATACCGTACCCACTTTCGAACAGTAACTTTCGAAAAGCTTCTTTATAATGGTTTTCGTAAAGTGCTATAATTAATGTTCCAATAATTATTATAGGTGAGCCGGTACGGATGTAGGAAGAAGTTTCTAGGGAAACTTTGAAAATTACTACTACCCACATAATCATTTGCTCTTTTCTTTTCAGTATTATAAAAACTTTTTACTACAACGTAGTAGTTAGGGAACTCGGAACAGTAATGGTTAAGAGCAGCACGGTATAAATGAGAAAGAAATATTCCTTATTCAAAGCTTTTACATACTAAGCACTTTCAATATTATTATGTAGGGTGTTAAATTACTTAAATAACATTCGTACAGTGTAAGTGCCGCATCCATTGAGCGTACACGGAGTTTTCTACTATTCATCAGTGCGCCGATAATGGAACAATCCTGTCGTAGCCGCGAAGAGGGGCTGTCAACGCTAGTCGTAATGGCATATTATTATACTGCTCGACTCAGCAAAAACCAATGCTGGGTAATATATATAAGGGACGATGGAGTCAATTTACTCTTCTTCAAACGGGATGATCTTTAACTTTTCAAGTTTTAAATAGCGAATCGTTAGTTTCCTCTGTCATAATATTAAATATTCTTATAGGCATGGATGTTTTTACTTACATTACACATTTACATAAAAACTGATTGTGGGTTTATAACATGTTTTATTAACATATATTTTATACGAAATTATTAGTTACACGACTAAGTACTTTGACAAATCACGGATGAAGAGCGTCCTTTAAAGTTTATTTTTATTTATGTAATAATGTTTTATACATTATAATCACAATATTATATTACGAAATACGATTTAAAAGATAAAGAGCTATAATTTACTTCATGTCTGGTTCAAATGTTGAGATAAGTTGACTTGCCTAAGACCCACTTTTCAACGAAGCTTATTTGGATTGGAACCCGTTGTCATAAGGGATGCCGGAGAGGTCGAGAGTAAATTATTGTTTGAAAGGGTATAATAAAAAAGAAACAGATTACTAACTACTAGCATTTGCTTATAATTCTAAAATTTTACATTAAAAACCTGGCATAAGGCCGGGGTGTTTTTTTTGTGCTTGTCAGGAAATATTATAATCCTATCATATGGACTTTACTTTATAATAATAACACTTATTATGTAATTTATACTTTTAAACCCTCAATGAAAACAATCGTTAATTGAATAACTTTATATTTAATTAGAGTGCCAGACATTTCTTAAGCATTTGTTTTAAATATAGTTTTGTAGAGAGATGTGAAGGGTCTCCAATTTATCAGTGTAACATATTGTTGATATTATTTCCATTAGCTAATCAAATTACACAGAAAAATTATATAAATGGCAATAGAATTTATACAAAACTGCATCAAACCTGTAATCGATTCTACATTTGAAATACGGGACAATATTTTGCCTTGAAACATTCAGATGAATAATTCAAATTCCCCTGAAAATAAATGGAGCACATTTTTAAAGATGAAATCAAGCTCCATTGGAACAGCGTGAAGTGAGTGGAGTGAGCACTTTTACTGGAACGACTATACTGTGCACGAATAATATTGGTTAGATTACAAACATTTGGTATAGTCAAGTCGAAAAACGCAAACAAAGTAAAAAAAAACAAACAATCTGATTTATCTATTGAAAGGGGTCGCTATTAAAGTAAAAGATATATCCAGACATGTTTCCCAACTAAACAAAGCTTGTACTTTGCGTACCGGAATAAACGAATTAAAAAATAGTTTTTTATCTATAAACTCTGGCGCAGGTGCAATAAATCAAAATACGATATGGATTTATATGAATAAAATCAATACATATATAAATAAAAGTCATAAAAAGATGTAATAAAAAATATATGATAGGTTATAGCTATTTATTTATTTAATATAAATAGTATCTTAAATAATATATCTATGTTTATTTTTAATTATAAACCCAATTATACGAGAAAACAAATAAGTACCCCATAATGATAATATTATAAAACATGCTATAATTTTAATTTTTATCAGTAGTCTAGATTATTTTTTTTTTTTTTACTTTCCATAATGAAATTAGTCTGTTTAATTAGTTTATTAAGTGCCAAAGAACTTTGACCACGACCCCAAAATGCATTATTTAATATGTTGTTGCTCATTACGAAAAATATATTCCAGGGTATAAACCGTAAAAAATGTGTACCATGGAATATACATTACCCCGTTCTCATTTGTTCTCCGCTGGTATGCTCAAAAAAGTCATGGTTTTAATAATAATACCTGGAGGAGGTTATTTTTTGGTAAAACGCAAAGCAATAATCTGGTATAGAAAAAAAATAAGTGTGAAAAATAATCGTGACACGAGCCGCAGTCTTCTGTTTCGGGGCCGCCCGATTACCGACCGAGCTATTATAAAATTTTTTTCGGCGAAATTTACCGTCTTATTCGAATAATATTTTTCATTCCCTGACATAAAAGGACATTTTCTAAAAATGAAACCTAGCTAGATTGAATTTTTGCCCCCAAATCTACGTACATACTAAATTTCATGAAAATGATTCAATGAAAATCATGATTTTGTCATCAGATTTTTATTGCATTAGAAATTAATTTTAACTTGTGGTGAATTAAACATCAAAACTTTTACGACGTAATTATACATTTTTACACATTATTCTGTGCCATGATAAAGAACGAACTTCAATTTAATTTGACAATTAGTCGTGAACCAGCATATGTTCATGAAAAGCTTAGCTTGGCATGTAAAATTGGCTCTTAGTTAGTGTTGGTAGTTATGAAATAGGAATATTTTTTCACGAATGTAAATTTATGTTTTAAAGCAATTAAGTACCTAAAAAAGATGTTTTTAACACTGAAAAAAACGAGGAAATGATTTATAAAGATTTTTAAAAGAAATAACATAGATACATATTTAATAGGGGGCATAAGTTAAAAATAATTGTAAGTTCTGTGCTACGATTATACAATAGCTAGACTTTGGGGAAAAGGATCTCTGATAGCAACCACGTCACAGTGCCTCCTGTGACGTGGTTGCTATCGGAGATCTGGTGGGGTGCTATGTTACATAATGGATAGACGACCTCGTCAAAACGGCAGGTAATTTCTGAATGCAAATTGCACGAGATTAACAAGGATTACACCGTAGCAATCTTGTTCATTCTTTAGATGAGCTTTATGATTAACACTGACTCGAATAATCTAAAAGGACGATGACAATCATTATCAATAAATAACGCGAATAAATATATAATGTTGAGGTACAATTGAATACATTTTTTGAATATTATTAGTATTTACCCATATCATACATCTCCTCATAAGATAATGAGGGTTTAGCACGTCTAACGTACTTATATTAAGTAAAGTACTCTAGATAGAGAGTAGAAGAGAGAAGTAGAAAAAGTACGAACAGATTGTCGCCGCTGTGGGAATTGAACCTACGTCTTCGGCATTCGCGGCCTGACGCTCTAGCCGCTGAGCTAAACGGCTGATAGCCACAGCGACGAAAATCTTAACGCCTTCCTTCTACATTGTTATTTAGCATTTGAAGCAATGCTTGGCGCATCTATTGTTATATCCTTTCCACCATACAAACAATTTCGAATATCGTTTTACAACGATAATTCTAACGAGAGATAAACTCTAGATATAGTTTAAGTCTGATCTATATGCAAATATTTGAAGCTATACGCAAATAATGGCAATAAAAATATTTATAAGTTGCAGGTCGAGAGTTACCTAATGGACAAAATGTTGTGTCTGTGGCACCAATAGAAGTTCCAGATGGTAAGTAAAACAATGAAAATCAGCTTCATACAAAGACGTAAACATAAACACTGTTATCATATCAAGCCTAAAATTATATAGAACACAAAAATCATAAAGAAAATATCGTAGTGGAAACTATAATAAGAGATGTAGAGAATATAGAATAAGAGATGGAAAAAATAAACTAAGTTAATTGAAAACTTGAAACTATTGATTAGTAGATAAAGAGAGATGTTAAGAATTAGGTCCGAAGTTTTTTGTTTATTATTTATCTTTACGTATTGTGTTAAATTCAGAACAACTTAGGCATAATATCATTTTATAATAGCAGATAATAGGTAAACATTCAAAAACATCATATCATAGTTTAATGATTATATTATATAAAGTTATATGAAAATATACGATGAATTATTCAAATTGAAAAACAGATATTTAAGTTGTTGAAACAGGCAGTTTTTAAAATATTAAAGACATTTTCATTTTTATGAAACATTTATATTTAGACGTACCAAACAAAACAAAACACAGATCGAAGATTTTGCCTAAATATTATTCGGTGTGTGGTGAATATGAATATTCTATGAATAAATGCTTTGCGTTGAAATTCACGGTAAAAGAAGGAATTAAGATACTTGGTCTAGTATAATTGCTTTGTATATAATTGAGTGACAGCCGAGAAATTATAATTATTAAATAATAATTATTGAATAATAATTATTAAATAATAATTATTAAATAATGTTTAATAATTACATTTACTCAACAACTATAGGATGAACACATTTGTTTTTAACATAAAAAATAACTTATTTGTTTATTTTTTTGCACCAAAAAATAACTCATCCCGACGATCCCTTATTTATTATTATAGACACCTGTACAAGGACCACCGTACAGCCCAGTGACGTTTTTTTAATTAATTTATTCCATTACTAACCAAGTGCGGGAATCGAATGCACTACCGCCGCAGTCAATAAATTGCCACTGCGGCAACCGAGCCATTAAAATTAATAGCCCTTGTTTTGTATTAGGCAACATTCAGAGATATTTGAATTTCAGTTTTAACGACTTTGACTGTGTAATTAGAAGTCGCTTTTCAAAACTTGGCGTATAATGAATACCTGGCGTTTGAAGTATGGCAGCAATTTTCATTTCGAGATTTAATATGTACAAAGCAATATTAATTTAAAACGTGAATAAAAATAGCACTCGGCGCGTCTCCTAAGGTGAGTCTGATAAGTTAAAAAGACCACTTGGGGGAGTTATTTTAGCGGTGGCCGTTGATACATTATTTTGCCGGTGAAAGAGCGATATAGCGACAAACCGCTATTTGTCGTTGGTGGGTCCGACATAAATCACGCACCCCACCTCGAGGCGGGCGGTGTCGGCAGACGCGCCGGCACCCACACACAACCGGATCACAGCTCGATCAGAACGGCTCAGCCATCAACTTGTTCCATAAAAACTTTTATAGTTTGTAAACATGTTTGGCTCCGCCAAAATGCAGATGGTAAATTATGAATCTTTTATTGCAGAGTCCATGTACCCGAGGTTCGCTGAGCCAATACCGAATGTTACGGTCACAGTTGGGAGAGATGCGTTGCTTGCATGTGTCGTCGACAACTTGAGAGGATTTAAGGTACCTTTAGAATGCGATCGTGTTATATTAACGAAATTGTTATCATAATGACATCTTAAAAACGTCATTTTAATATGTTTGTTCAACTAAGAAAAGACTACACATTAATACATGTGTAGTCTTCTGTTTTTACGGATTTTTTATCACTTTTAATTAAAATTTTAATTATAAATAAAGGAAAATATTTTCATGTAATAGTTTTAATATTTTTTGAAATTTGTTGTATTATTATAACTAACACATAATATACATTCTTAAGGTGGCATGGGTAAGAATGGATACACAAACAATTCTAAGTATTCATCACAACATAATAACGCAGAACGCACGTATAAGTCTCTCGTATAATGACCACCGCTCTTGGTACCTACACATTAAAAACGTGCAAGAGGTAGACCGTGGGTGGTATATGTGTCAGGTCAACACCGACCCAATGCGCTCTAGAAAAGGTTATTTACAAGTCGTGGGTAAGTCTCCTTAACCTTGTCATGCCTCATTGCTTGTTTGATTTGATTATATAATCAATAAATTACCATGTCCATAGTCCCACCTTCGATAATTGATAACATGACTTCCACGGACATGGTGATACGTGAAGGAAATGACGTCACACTGGTATGCCGGGCGTCCGGATATCCTGAACCTTACGTGATGTGGCGGCGCGAAGATGGGCAAGATTTTAACTACAACGGAGAATCAGGTATTTGTGGAGCGTTGTCCGTAAAATTTTAATTCGTGGCTTTGGTTACGTTTCGTGTTGTAAAAACTAAGCAGTAAGGCAGAAGTCTTCGCTGTTGCAAGAATGGGCAGTTCCGTCCGGGTAAGAACCACGACCTGACACAAGAACATAGTGAAGCGGAACTGTTATACTTCTACGCTTCGTCTGGCAAGTGGGGTAACCGGGACTCATTTTATTAAATGGTGGCAACGCATTTGCAATCCTGTTGGTGTTGCAAATGTCCTTGGGCGGCTATTATCACTCAACATCCTGTGAACCGCCAGGTCGCTTGGCATCTACTGTAAAAAAATAGTGCAGATATGTTACTGGGAGCAGCTTTTTAAAAAATTGTTTCCGTTGAGCTGTATTATAGTTATTCATACTTTGTTATAAGCCATTTTTATGTTCGTGTGCGGGCTTAACGATCGCCCCACTCGGTAGAACTGCTGCCAAACCGCGCCCGGATATATTTTGAAGGCCCATTTCACCTCATTTGGCGGCATGCAGCTCAGATGCCATATTCAGTATCGTATACGCCGCGTTTGGCTCTCGTATTGGATTGTGTAATCGCGAAAAGAGGTACTTAAGATCGATTGCCACTGGAGTCTTCATTCGTAAACATTCCATTACGACAAATTGAATTGTCAGGACAAAGGAAAGCAGTCTTCATTCACTCTTTATTCAGCTACCTACATCGTAATATAATCCGTAATTATCTTCAGTGTTGTTACTAAAAAGACATCGATAACAGATATTTTTTTTTTACACAAAATCTTCTTAATTTTATTTTGTAGATATGTCATTGTGTATGTATATCATGCAATAGCTTCACTACGAGTAGATCAAATCTATGCTCAAAGCTATGTGTTTTTATTCTGTTCTTGCATTTAGTTAATGATATTTTCTATGGTGGATCAATCGTAGGGATAAATGAGAAGTCTCGGCAGCCGCAGTAATCACATCTTATATTATAATTATGTGGTTTTGTTAATTGTATTCTTATGGGCGACTGTAGATGCGCATTATTAGTCTATATTGTTATAATTAACGAAAGTTGTCACTACGTTTTGTTCTTACATAACAATTGGAAGAAGATAATGAATCGACATAAAAGACAATAATTATGCCTTTATTTAATTATCCTCTACCTTTGTTTAGTTTTTGAAATTTTATATATTTTTCGAGCTGAATATAAGTGTGAGGCTAAATTAAGACTACTAAATATTTATAAATAATTGTATTGTTAAATGACTTTTGACTTACCTTACAATTTTCAACAGTGAGTGTTGTAGACGGGGAAACGCTTACAATAACAAAGGTGTCTCGCTTACATATGGGAGCTTACCTGTGTATAGCGTCTAACGGAGTGCCTCCATCGATTAGCAAGCGTATCATGCTTATGGTTCAATGTGAGTATTATCTTGGATTAACCTAGTCTTAACTAATACTTGAATATTGCCAGGTCTACGTTGTTTCCGATATTAACCTTAAAACTCGGCGTAACACGCGAGTAAATGTTGACTGCCTTCTGATACAGGAAGCGACTTTAGAATTATTATGAGAAGTATATCATACAGCGCTTTGATGGGTTAATTAGCGGTACGAAATTTTGTTGGATTGGAAAACACGTTTCTATACAGGAATATAATTATTATAATTAATAAACAAGACCGGAAATGTTAAACTGTAGCTAAATATCTAATTAAGAGTGAAAGCTTATATTTTAAAAGCTATCACGTCGTTAAGATCTAAAAACTTAACATTTTCAGTTCATAAGACTTCTACAACATAATGTTTTAATTCGTCTCAATACAACTTACTTGGGTCTTGATGGAATAATTTTGAACAAACAGGCCACGATGACGATGCGAATACTTACACTTAAGGCTAAAGACTTCACTAACTGATAATGCCTTTTGCTACTGTACCCTAAGCATTGGCTATAATTATTTCTGCTGGAAGATATTCATGTCCACTATAAATTTGTATCATTTTAATACTGCTCTTTAGTTTTCTTTAATTTTGTAGTAGAGTTAAATCCCCAAAGGTTGCTAACACAATATAACTATATATATACAGTATCCAGTTATAGCTCAAGAAATGACTAATTCACCCTTCATTGGCAGTTCCACCAATGCTGTCAATTCCTAATCAATTGGAGGGTGCTTACATTGGACAAGACGTGACTCTCGAATGTCACACGGAGGCCTATCCATCATCTATTAATTATTGGACCACTGACAAAGGCGACATGATAATATCCGGTGAGAATATTAGTATATAATATATGTGTCTTTAACCGTTTAGTTGCTATGACTGTTTAAGTAAGGTAAATTTTACATAACATTCCGTAGGATTATCGGGAAAAAGCGTTTGACATTAACTCTTTCACAAATCGTATTCAAACATACATTTATTTAATTTATTTTAAAATGTTTAATCTTTATTGATGTAATAATTACAAGATTAAATCTATCTAATATAATTACATATTAATGTATTGATACTGCTTTTTTAATATAAACAAAGATTACGGAAGGAACTTATAAATAATACTTGTGATAACTCAAAGTTTTATATCAGGTATTATGGCGTAAAGAAATTATTCTCAAAAAACTTTTTTATATATAATAACATTTTTGAATTTAAATAAAATATTTATATGAAATAACATGTTTGAATATGAGGTAATGCCGATTTTACGACTAATTCAATTTTCTCATTTTAAAATCATGACGGAAATTATTATTAGACATCGATACATTTATCATGTTCACTTAAATAACACATGTGCCTGCCTTGCAACAAAGAACGATTCTATCATTGATTTATGGCTTGATAATGAAAATAGTTTCCATGCCTGTAGCGAGGGAGCAACACAAACACCACTCATACGTATGCGACTACTCAAGTGTGAGGAGAACATTTTAAAATGAAATACCTTTTCCACTTTCACGTCGTCTGTAGAAGACGTGATTGATAAATAATTCAGATGCCAGATTCTACTTGGACCGCTTATTGCAAATTTATTATGTGTTTTTACAAGAGTTTTTAAAATTCTTAATACACGTATTTGCAGTTAGAATTTCAATAAGCACATTGAATTAATATCCCACAGACATTAATGTTAAAAAAAAATATTATTTGGGTATACTATACCAATATTAAATTTACACTATAGTTCAAACAATTTTTCGTAGAATTATAATTATATTTTATTTTATAAATATAAATATTTCTTGACATATTATTACACGATATTATCTAGTCCCTAACTAAACGAAGCCTTTACTGTGGATATTAGGATGAACACTCTTAGACACTTTTCTTCAGTAAATAAACATACATTATAATTTAAAATGCACTGAGATATTAGAAAAACATTATGTTCGTCACACGGAATTTTTTCAGTAGTGGGGATCGAAACTTCTGGTGCTACGAACAGGTTGATTATGCACTACACTAATCGGGTATTGGCACTTGTGGAAGCTTTTAATGCTTCAAGTGTATCTTAAATATTGCCATATTCGTTTGGTTCATATATGTACATCATTAATAAAGCTTAATGATACACATATATGAATCACATTTAAGATACATTAGCACCTAGCAATCATACAGTTTTTATATTTAAGTAGAAATGGAAATTGTAGGTGGCAAATATGAAGCATTCCCAGTGGATAGCGGCTATAATAAGTTTATGATGCTCAAGATACGGAATATTACCAAGGAAGACTTTGGCTTCTACAAGTGTATCGCTAAGAACTCCTTGGGGGAAACTGATGGCATTATTAAACTCGACGGTATGTTTTTTGATTAGTTATTTTTATTGAGCAAATATAAAAATAGGCGAGAGCGAGTATTATTTGGAGTCTACGTAGTTGTTAAGTGCAAGAAGTTGGATTGCGGTTTGCTCCTCATTCATTAATTTATGTTACAAATTACCAATGACTTTACCCTTTCTCATCAAATAACTCTATTTCCTTTAAAGCAAATATTATAGACCACACAATTTTTCAGAAATTCCTGCACCACCGTCGGCATTTACAACAACACAAAAATCTGTTCTAGATAATCAAACAATACGGAAGAAAGGTATGTTTTACCTAGAGCACGAAACATTTAAAATTCAGGTCTGCATGCAAAATAATTTCAATTTAATTAAAAGTCATTTTATCAAACAGGTCAGCTGCCAATTATACAAACGAACGACGCGATAACCTCAAATTTTCAAGGTGAAGTTTATGGCGAACAAATAAGAGAATTCGGTAGCGTATAATTTAGTTTAAATACTAATCAATATCGATTATCTACCTATCTATCTAAAATAACTAATTCATTTTTAAGAACATAATATTGCATTTAAACTTTATTTACATATATACTTTTATTTCTTATAAAAGTATCTATATAAAAAATATCCGGCTTTGCTCTCTACGATATTTAAGGCAGAGTAAAAATATACCAGAAATGTATTTTCAGTAATACTAGATAAATTCTATATTCTAATAATACTATTGATTCTATAATACTCACAATAATTATTATCGATAGCGATTATAAAAAAGATAAGAAATTAATAAGGCATAAGAAATAATAAGGGATCAAATTAATTAAACGATTTTACCACTTTAATATAATAAATAGGTGGTCTTTCTTTAGCTTTGCAACGAGTATTAGTAACAATAATAAATTTTTTAGGTTTATCGTTCTTTATATGGTATATTTATTTAATTTTTCATAACAAATTTTAGTTGTAAAATAGTCGGTATAGATTATTATTTACTATAGATTAAAATTCTTCTGAATTTAAAAACTGGTGCAGGACATTTTTTTATTTTTTAGAAAAAAAAATAAGGCTTCTTCATAATTTAACAAATCAATAGCAATCAACTCTTATTGAAATGTGGTTGACGATTTATTGAACGAATAAACAAAAGAAATAGGCAAGAAATAGGTATATCTTGCTTTATATTAAATGCAACTAAAAGTTATCACTTTATAACGAACAATTTAAAATTGTTTGACTTATTTTTCTTACTTATATTGAACATAATGGTTATAAAGTTCTTTGTGTGCGTGTGTGTATGTGTGTGTTATTAAACAAGAAATACCTGAATACTGTTTGTATTTTTACAGATTTCGACGACGAAAACTCAACATCTGTAGCCAAGTGCAATTGTTTTTTAACCTGTTTATTAATTTTATTTTTAATGACAGTCGTAAATAAATACATGCTTCCTTGATGATACTACTTTTCATCCAAATTATGTTAAATCTATCCTAATATTTAGTTTTCTACGGATGAACAGACAATAATAAAAAAACCGCTTTCAAAGTAAATGGTGATTATGAAAAGTTTACCGGTTTAACATCTACCACAATTCTGTTCATAGTAAATACCTCTGCAAAATTGCTTTGAACAATGAACTTAAGGAATAATAAAATTTTGAAACAAAAAATCTCCTTTTTATATATGTATTCTTTTTTATCCTTTGATCAAAAATGTTTTTATTGTTTATAAAAAAATGTCTGTTTAAATAAATGTTGAATAAATAAATGATCGGGGGTCAATAACATCAGTTTGCTTTTGAACGTGGTCAAAACAAAAGGCTTTCATTTATGTTTTACCGCACAGTGCGTCGTATGAAAAATAAATATATACAGCATAATTGCAGATATAAATAGTTATAGAAAATCTTATATTGGTTTTGGTTTAAACACAACCACAACGAAGTTATGTGAATTTATTCAAATTAGTTCCTACATAATATATTTGTCGTTTTTTGATATCCGTACACTTTGTAATTTACTTCAACAAAAGACTAAGAACAATGTTAAATCGATGAAATTAATATGCTTAAGTAGACTGATAGATTCTTAGTAAGGAAACACTCCAATAACTTGTTATTTTGTAACATGGAAAAGACAAACAATATAAGTATTCTTTATATTGTATTATTGTTAAAAGGTAACAATACATGCGTTTTCTTTTTACAATTGAATAATGTCTTGCTGTTATTATTCTTATAATTCTAAAATGAATATTGACGTTTTATGTGTTCACAATTTCAAACAAAGCTTTTGTTGCCTCCAAATAGTTTATAAATATATGTTTATATAATATATTGTAAATGTTAGTCAATTTAGATGGTATCAGTTTTAGGGAGGTATAGAGATTTTTGTAAATTGTTTACTTGCTAAAAAGTAAAATTGCCAAATGATTGTGTATAAAAAAAAGCTTAAAAGATTAATCCGATTTTTATTTTACCTGTCTACTAACGCTCATACATAATTCGAACAATGGAGTCCTTAATAACATCGTCATTTTCTATCAAGTGGATTGAACTTTAATTGCTGGTCAATTAAGGTACCGTGTACTATAATTATCAGTAAGACAATGTTATCTTGAAAACACTTATGAATTAGCTGCTTGCCAAATAACAATTAGAGAAAATGTGAGATTAAATATACACTAACTATAAACATATAAGGATTTTCATATAAAAGTTCATAAAATGAATTCAAAGCAATTATGGTGTATAGCACCTTAACTAAATAACTTCTAGTGAAAACTAAGTGAATTTATCCGCAAAATTAGTCACTATTATCAAAATCGCTGGATTTTTAGTACCCTATATACCTTTGGGCTATTGTTAACTTACTAATGGGTTAAGAGGAACAAACGCAGTGCATAGCCAAAAGTTCGTTTGCCGTAAAATCGATACGTTAATATAATATAATAAATAACTTCGAAAATAATTAGATGCAAGATTACTGTACTCTGTAACTGTATCCGTATGGATTGGATATTCTATAAACATTACGTAATGAACATATTTTAATTGGTATTTGCAAAATAGATTTCTTATTACAAACCTAACAAAAAAGAGCGCCTAGCTGTTCGTCTGAAGGCACCAAAAGGCAATAATAAAAATAAACACCTGGTCGGGTCAAAAGTTTTTACATAATGAACTGCTGGCTGAACAGAACACTTTAATTTTGAATGCTGGCCTCAAAAATATTTATTGAATTCGAATTTCGAATGTTTTATGAAGATGAAAACGTGTACTATTACGAATTTTAGAAAGAACAATAACAAAAAAAATGTTTGAAGTCTGCAAATCCGCAGTGCGGCCGCGTAGTGTGCTATGCCCTAATACCCTCTATACATAGGAGGCCTTTGCCCAGCAGAGGGTCATAAAAGCCCCATATAAATATAGTATATGGTTTTGTGTTGTAAATTTAATTATAATAATGGTACTTTACTTTCTTTTTCAATAAAATTTTTCTTTGTATGGAGTTAAAGTTATGAATAAGCTTTGAATGCCTATTGCCTTCAGCTGCCTAGACAAGAATCAAAAGACGTGATGCTTTTCTAATTAATAAGTCTATACATAATATGTTTACAAAAGTTTTTAGTTTTATCAACGTGCTTCATTTTCGTCTTCTTCCTCGAGCTATTTAATATTGGGTCTTTATTAGATGCAGGGATTTCATGGATTACTTTGAATAACAGAAATAAAAACTTAAAAAAAATACTTTTACGGCGATTTAATAGGTAAAGACCTATTACCAGTAAATTAGGTTCAAGGAATACCGTTAAGAAAATAGACTAGGTGAGGTATCTTCCTAATAAAATAATAAATTTGTTGTATAAATGTCACTGTCAGCGATCAATTTCAACTGCCCCAGATTTCCGCCTGTTTCGTCAAAATTATCTGTCAACATTATCGTCATATTTTTTTATCATTTTATTGTGCAAATAGAATAAATAAACATCTCACGTATTGAGAAAGCCATAAGAAAAAAGGTGTTATATTATTTTTAAAATGTTTATTCATAATGGGGAATAATAATAATTTCATCAATTGATACTATTTCAACTTGTTGTCTACGCCCTCGCGGGGGCAAGGACGGATTATGTCGGACGCGCACCGACTAAAACCCCCACGATGTTCCACCCAGACGCGTATCGACAGGGCCACGGGAACGCTTTCGCACACTTCCGTGACTCTGCCCCTTCTCAGAGAGCAACTCCCTTTTCCAAGTAAGGCACGCTGGAACATTCAGTGCGCCTTCCTTGCCCCTTCGGCCCTTTTTCATGACAAACGAATTCCCCCAAATACGCTGACCAAATGCCATGAGAGACAGGAGACCCAATCATACTAAGCAGGAAGCCTTCCAGCCTCCCGCGGTGGACCTGGTCTGTGGCTCCGCCGCATATCACATCGGCCGCGGAGAGTAAGGAGAATGGCGTATCGCAATACCTACACTCCTCTCCCCCCTACAGCCCCGCCGAGTCACAGAAGACAGGGCGAGTGGCTACACCTCTACTACCCTCAACCTGTCCCCAACACCCTCCTCGCTCGCGGGGTGGGCTTTATGTGTATAATTTTAATAAAAGTGCCTAAATAAACATAAACACATCTCATACTATAAAATAAATACACTTTTTAATGTTGCATTGGACGTTAAATATGTCTAGCTCTTGACGTATGGCATTATAACTTGAACAAACACGGTGAATCGGTGAATGCTGCCCGTGGCAACAACTACCTAGAGGCAGCGCGAATACCTTCTGTTCATGTAAACGACTACCAACCCGTGGTAAACTGATATTTATTACATAAACTAATATTAGATAACATTAATCCTTCGAGCAGCTTCTACAGTGTGAATGCCACGGTGAAAGTCGTATTCGCAAATAAAGCGATATTTTAGTTTTCAAAATTTGTGATCAGGCGGATTTCAAAGAAAAAATCAAATGAATGACTAAATTAAAAACACAAATACAAAAGCCTAAATTTGTAACAAATTTAAAATTGTAATTCATAATCAGACCCCAGATATTTGAGATCAAAGTGGCCAGATCGATATACTGCCAATTTCACATGTAAGTACATAATATTTTATGGATTCGATCGCGCTTTAAAATACTTTACAGTAACTTTGTGGCATTCGTTGATATTTATTTATAGATGCATACAAAGGATCATTGTTTTATCACAATAATTTTGGTTTAAAAAAACGGAGTGTCAAACAACTGATGACGCATCCACTGTCACGCAATGATCCACATATGTTCTAGTAGTTTCTTGCAAAAACGTAGTTAACGTAGTGATTACATTCTCTTTGGTTTTTTGTTAGAAATGCAAGGAGAGATAAGGATCATTTCAACGTTTAATATTGGGCTAATTACAAAGATAAGATAAAGAAGGGTTCGAAACGCCGGGAATTATAAAACCAAAATAAAATCGCGATAATTCGTAAACTACTTTCATTTAATTTGTACGAACTTAGAAGTGAGTTATATTGGTAATGCCTCGTGCAAATGTACGTACAGCATGGAGTGCTATAATAGTAAGTACAAAGTACACCTCGCAGCCGAACAATAACATATTACACGGCGTCGCCTTTAATCAACGTCTCGTTGCTAAACTTCGAAAATACAATTCCAAAGGATGTACGAGTACACAGTATGCCTTGTTCGCTATTTGCGCTTTTGACTTCAAAAGACACAGACTAAGTTGAGCGCAGACGTTAGACTTATATTCATTATGTTTTTAGATCATTAGTAAAACTTTTGTTACGTAAGTTTGTAGTTTTATAAATATAATTCTCAGTGACAAAAATTTCCAAGACTATGCAATAGCTCCATTAGTATAAATGCTAAAGTAGGAAGGTGTTGTAACTGCGTTCACCAAACCTACAAATGCGTATCGAGCCTCTGAGGTATTCAGACTCTAGGAACAGGCGGGAGTCCCTCATTACCAGCTTCTCCCATTTGACCGCATTCAACTTAGGCGGCTAGGGTTATCGACGATCAGGATCTTTCCAATCGGCTTGATCCTTTGGCTCTGCGCAGGGATATTGGATCATTCTCTGCTCCTCTACCGCATATATCGCGGAGAGTGTTCCGAGGAATTATTTGGATTGATCCCGGGTGCTGAATTCGCCATCGGACATCGCGTCAAACCAAAAATTCATCCACACCATCTGACGATGTCCAGCGTTCCACAAAAACGCGATTTTCCAGACAATTCCTGCTTGGCACCACCATTCTGAGGAACTAGCTGCCGCCGGCGTTCATTCGAACCGTTACGACCTGGGATCCTTCAAGAAAAGAGCACATTCTTTCTTAAGAGGCCGGCATCGCATTTTCAAGCCCTCCGGTGTTGCAGATGTTCGTGGGCTTCGGTTATGATTTAGCATCTGGTGAGCCTCCTGCTCGTTTGCCCCTTTTTTCCATAAAAAAGGCAACAACTGACTCGCTATATAAGGAAGATTTTATGTGTTCAAGGGCCAGTTGCATCTTTGAAACATAAACGCTTTTAAAAATTTTAACCATGCAATCTTAAATAATATATACTTATGTCTAAATACTAGTACTTCACTTGTAAAATAACAATGGAATTCACCATATTATTTGACAACATAAAATATGTCTAGATTGTTAACTACAAAAATTTTCACAGGCAGCTTATTCAGTTAAAAGAGTTCTTCCACTAATTACCACTATTAAACTACCATACCAATTAACGCTTAAACATGGACAGTACTGTGAAAGCGGAAAAAAAAGTACAATTAAATTAGAAAATTATTATAACTTTTGTATTTAGTCTTATTGCGACACTAAGGTGATTTCCAACACTTTTGAAGTATTAGTTTTGTCATATTGAATTTTAATGTGTCGCGTACCAATAATGACAACAGCAAAGAGGCAGACATTACGGACCATAACATACTAGTCAACATCATTTGCATTTGCATAACGCTTTTTAGGGTTCCGTACCCAAGAGGTAAATCGGGAACCTATTACTAAAACTCCGTTGTCTGTCTGTCTGTCCGTCTGTGACCAGGATATATCTCATGGAGCGTGATAGTAAGACAGTTGAAATTTTCACAAATGATGATTTCTGTTGCCGCTATAACAACAAATACTACTAAAAAACAGAATAAAAAATTTTAAGTGGGGCTCCGATGCAACAGACATTTTTTTTTTTTGCCGTTTTTATAGATGGTACGGAATCCATCGAGCGCGAGTCCCACTCGCACTTGGTCGATTTTTACAAGTTACTTCAAAGAACCCTTTATATAGAAAAACTTAAAATAATATAGAAGATATAAAAAGAATACTCAAACTTTTGCTTAGTTTCCGTTAGTAAAGTTAATGACGCATAAAATTGTAGCCCTAAATAAAAGGGACGGTATCTTTAATGGTTGACACGGATTTCTATAGACTTTAAACCCATGCAAGACTAACAAACTGAAGAGTGAAAAGAATTTGAGTGTTGTTCTCATGATAGTATATGACATATTTGCAATTTAATGAAGGTTGTAATTACTGTTATTCGCACAAAAAGATTTTACAAAACTACAAAGTACTTTATATACGAATATGGAATACACACTGTTTATACAGCGTGTCTTTACAATCGCGACAATAAATGAACACAGATATAGGGGATAACTTTTTAAAATTGTATTAAACATTTACATTCTTTAAACATCAATATTTACAGCGTTATTAAATTTTCGAAAACAAAGAATTTTAGTTCACCCTTACGTATAAATTTGTAACGTAAAGTATATTTGTAAAGGTCACATAGCATATGAATGGGTTGAATGAATTTAAAAGAGACAAAACATATTGTTAGAAGGAGAGGCTTGTAATGCGACGCTGTAGCGGGAGTTGCATAGGATGTTACAAATTTTGTTTCTTTTTTACTTAATTAGTTTGTTTGAAAAATATATTTTTTTATTATGGATTTTGTTTAACGTTAATATTTTTTATGATTATTGGCAAGTAGCGTTATACGTGTGTTCATTTATTGTCGCGATGGTAACGACACGCTGTATAATTATATAACTCAACTATATCCGTAAGTAGTATTGAAGTGGAATTAATATGTTTTTTTTTTACAAACGGAGGCAGTAATGTCTAGCGGCGTTTTAAACAGGGGCAAGAAGTTAAAAAGAAAGGTTGTTAAGTGAAAATTAATTGATGACCGCCTACCCTAAACGACTTCCCACAACAGAAAAGTTTTATTTTCAAGTTCGCTCAATTAGTGGAAACGCTTTATGTATATATAGTATTCAATGAATCATGTTCGTCAACACTAATGTGAGGTTTTAATTATTTTCTTTGTAAGTAATAAATTTGAAATCTGTGTCTGTTCAAAAGATAAATATGAAATGTATAAAAATTCATTTCATAAATATTATCTATTATTTGTGAAATTAATAATAGCAGTAGTGATGAGCAATTCGAATCTGCATTTGCTATCCGTAACCATGAGAGCTCCGTATCGTATCCAAGTAAGCACACCTATTATGACTACGAGAAGAAGGCCCTTTTATATTAC